TCATCTTTAAAACGACCAAAACTAAATTCATCTTCATCTGATACAATTATTGAAGCTGATTCAGATGTTGTAACAAAACGTTTAAAACCTGAATCTATTAATGAAGTAAACAATGAATCATCTCCAAAAATATCGGAAGCAAATCACACGACGGACTAAATAACTGAAACATTTCGAAAAAATGCAATTACATTTCTGTTGTTTGATGTATTTCTTGGTGTCTTTCTTTACTTGTTCAAAACCTTCTTGTCTCTCTTTCGTTCTCTATTCCATTTTTTTTTTGTTTTTTTCCATTTTTGAGGAACAAAAAGAAAAAAAACAACAAAAAAAGCAAAAAGAAAAAAAATTGAAAAAACGTTTCTTTTCCTTTTTGTGTCGTTATTTGAAACTGTTCATTTTCTTTTCTATCTCTGTGTTCTGTTTGGTTCAACTGCTGTATATAAGTACGCTTGTAGCACATATAACTAAGTTAAAAAACGAACCCAAAAAAATTAGAAAATCATAAAAGGAAAGATTAATAAAAAAAAATAAAACGAATGCATATACATACATATATATATTTATACATGAAAATTCTTTGTTTTTTGTTCTATTTCTCTGCTTTATTCTAGAATATATATATATATATATGTCTGTTATACTTGAAACAACATTAGGTGATATCACTATTGATTTATATTATGAAGAACGACCAATATCGTGTAAAAATTTTTTATTTTTATCTGCAATGAAATATTATAATTTTTGTTTATTTCATTCAATACAAACAAATTTTATTGCACAAACCGGTGATCCAACTGGTACAGGTCGTGGTGGTGAATCAATTTATAGAGAATTATATGGTGAACAAGCAAAATATTTTGATTTGGAAAAAAAACCATTAATTAAACATCGTAAACGTGGTACAGTATCAATGGTTAATAATTCAAATGATCAGCATGGTTCACAATTTTTTCTTACATTATCATCAAATCTTGATTCATTAGATGGTATTCATACAGTTTTTGGTGAAATTGTTGATGGTTGGGATGTATTAGATAAAATAAATATAGCTGTTATTGATAGAGATTTTCGACCATATCATGATATACGTATTATACATACAGTTATTGTATCAAATCCATATCAAATTCCATCATCATTAGATATACCTGAACGTTCACCATCACCAACTATTGAACGTGTTAAATCATCAATGATTGCATTTGATGAACTATTTGATGAAGATCGTGTACAAGGTAAAACAGAAGAAGAGATTAAAGATTATATGGAAGAAAAAGAAGCACAAGCAAGAGCACAAATTCTTGAACTTATTGGAGATTTACCGGAGGTATGTGTCTTTTTTTGTTGTTATTTAATTCTCAATCGAATTTACTTATCGAAATTCAAGTACAACTTTTCGTAACCGATCAGTGAATTGCAGTGCTCAAAATCTTTGTTTATCAACAACTAAGGATTAAGAACAGTAATGGAAATAAATGATGAAAAGAATTTTGCTTTATTTTGTTTTGGAATAATTTTAGTCTCTTGATTAAGTATAAGGAAACTTATAGTTTCATATTATGTAATGATCGACTTTGAGCTATTTGCCAACGAGAAAATACTTGCAAATCGTATTTTTGATGGATACTTCCATGGATAGTCAACTGCAAAGCACAAGGTTCTCAAAAGATTTTTTCTTATATGGAATTCATTGTGCCGATTATTTAGATGAGATCATGTTCAAGTTTATTCAATAAGTCATTGTGTTAGGAGGATAATACTCAACAACTTTGGCTATTCCTGACTGCTACTCAACAGTAGCTGATGTTTTCGAATATTTTGATCCTTGTACCATAGTTTATTGAGTAAATTTGAATGTTTTTTACTACAATGATCAACGCAATGAATTATAGAAAGTTCCACTGAGGAAAAAAAAATCTTTTGAGAACCTTGTGTTTGTTGCACTAGACTACCCATAGAACTATCCATCAAAACTATGAATCGCAAGCATTTTGTCGTTGGTAGCTGAGTTAGAAGTCTTACAACATTCTTCCAGAGAAATTTTCGATATTATTTTTCATATATTTGTTACTCAATAGGCGAAGTCATAATCCGAGAAGATAGAAAACCGTTAGTGTAAATGAAATATAAAAAAAAAACAAACAACGATCAACAGAATATTTTTTATTGTTTTTTAACTGTATATTTGTCTTTCTTTTAGGCTGATATAAAACCACCGGAAAATGTTTTATTCGTATGTAAATTGAATCCAGTTACGACTGATGAAGATTTAGAAACAATATTTAGTCGATTTGGTGAAATTCTTAGTTGTGAGATTGTACGAGATAAAAAGACAGGAGATTCACTTTGTTATGCATTTATTGAATATGAAAATGAAGAAGATGCTGAACAAGCTTATTTTAAAATGGATAATGTACTTATTGATGATCGACGTATACATGTAGATTTTAGTCAAAGTGTAGCAAAGGCAAAATGGGAATATGATAAAAAACAAAAAAAACTCAAAGCACTCAAAGCTCAACAACGACCGCCAAGGCGATCACCACCACGATTACCAAGACGATCACCGCGACGGTCACCACGGCAATCACCGCGGCGATCACCTAGACAATCGTCACGACGGTCACCACGACGGTCATCATCTCAATCACCACCGCGATCATCTTCATCAAAACGATTCCGATCTAAACGTTAATAGCTACAATTATTTGTATAAACCCATTGTTAATAAATCAGTTGTCATGAATAAAATCTGCTTGATTTTATTCATATGCTTCCATTGTTACTTATGCAGTTTCAATGATATATTAAACGGAAAAATAAAAGATGATTAGAGCTCATTAAGTTCATCCTACACCTGTTCGAGCCGACCCTCAAATACTATTCGATGCATATAATAAATTTAGTCTAATTTTTGCTTTTATTCCTAACCTTTGTCTCCAACAAAAAACAACGCTTTAATTTATCGCTAATTGAGTCCTTCGGTTTGCATTATATTTATTGAATATGTAAACTACACAAAGTAATCAGCAACTGTTGTTAGTTGCCTTTGATATTTCGAAAAAACTTGACATTCTTCATTATTATTGACGGCTTGTTAATGTTAAAGAATAATACAATATCGTGCCGCTGTCTGATAATGAGCGTATATGATACAATTTTGTGATCACATATTTATTTGTAATGGAGAAAAACCAAATTCATCAAATTTCTTTGTCAGAAGAAAATGTTTTAACTGCTGTTTATCTCATCGATTTTCCATTTAGCTATGTAACATCTTTCAGTTATACAAAAATCTTAGGATGATTGAAATAATTGAAAGTTTTTCCGCATTGATTTTTCTCATGTATATAGTTATTTAAAAAAAATAAAAAGTAACACTAATATTTAAAATAAATAAAAGAATGTGCACAATATTGAAACGAATTCCTTTTGACTATTATAAGAAATAAACTTGATACTTTGTACGAATCAAAATGAAAAAAAAAATCATTAGATTTAGTGGAACAATATGAGTTATAGTCATTCAAAAAAGGTGTTTCGATAACTATGAAGTAGATTCTATTCCTTAAATGAACACAACAAGAGCAGAAAATTAATTTTTTTTCGGTCATTGATTCAGACACCTTGTTTTACATTTAATTCTCTACAAGAATGAGCAATTTAGGTTATTATTGCAAATTTTGAGATATTTCCTTGAAGCTAACTTTATTTCTGTCATTGACAGAATAAGATGTTTTCTTTAATTTCCTACATAGATGCACAAGCATCTAAAATCGAAGGAACGCACATTCGTAAAGAAAAATGAGTCGAGTATTGTTCTACATGAATGATAGATTATAATAGATATAGAAAACTATTTTTCAAAAAGCAATACAATTTCTTTAACTTGTATTAATACTTGTCATACAGAAATTCTATAACTAATTAAATGGTCGTTTAGAGGAATATTCAAATCAAAATGATTAGTTTGTTTTTGCAGAAAGTTGTCATAATGAAGAGAGAATTTTCCGCTTATGAAAACTATTCAATTCGTGTTCTACTAAATGGTTATATGATGGTCGAAATGACGGGCATAGTAAACAACTAAAGAATCTATTTTTTAACCGGTGCTTTCATGTTCTCAATAATTTGACATATGAAAAGTTTGAGTTTTATTCTATCTGATTATTGATCAAGTGTGTATTAGAACAATTGTATATGGTTTTCAATGAAAAATATGTTTTCGAAAAAATTGAGCAAAGATTTGGAACCCTTTTATTGTCTGACTTCTATTTACTTCCCATTTTTTAATATTATCAATCAACATTTCTTCTTAAGTATGTATTTAAATTTCAATTGTTCTCATCGATAAATTGATGAGGTAAGTCAGTATGTTCTTCGCCGTAACTCGCTGACGAGACTATCGGCAGTGTCTCTTTTCGCGATCTTCGGTTCAATGGCCGAATCTATCAGTGATTTTTTGAGATGATACCTGCTGTATTAGAAACGTTCTAATATTATATGTATTGATACTAATTGTATTTAGCCATTATAGTGACGTGCTGAGTTATTAACTAACTTAAGCGGATGACTAAATAGATTCAGTTAAGACAAGAGAGTAAGGGCAGCACCTGAGTACCAAACTTTACTAGAATGTGCTGGAAAAATGCTGAGAGATGCTCTGATGCTCCTACATATTTCAAATTAGACTGGAAGTTAAGATGATAACTATAAGTGAGAGTCATATTGTTTCAATTCAGTTTTTCTTTTTTATAAAACTTTGACTAAAGGTTTCCGGGATCAAACAATCCGATGTCCTAATCAGTTTTTCGAAAATCTTGAATTCGTTTTTTTCCAGTGAGAAAAAACCTACTTCAAACAAGTAGCTGAATGTTATAAAACGTCAATAAATTGCAGAAAGTAGACTTTCACTAATCCAAAAAAAATCGAATTGAAATAGTATGAGTCTCACTCATAGCTGTCACTTTAATTTCAAATATGTATCAGCATCTTCAATGCTAAAAGGTGTTCGAGATTCTATGCTTACACTTTCTCCCGTCAGTTATGAACTAAGCTAGTAACTAACGAATGAAGGTCTTCAGATGATTAGAAACTTTTGATCCCATGTTATATCCAGTTGTAGGG